GTACAAATGTGCTTTACACAATTGATGTATGTATGGATTGTGATAAGAGTTGTATGAGCCCCTAATAAAACGATTTTTTAAAAAAGAGCTGTAAGAGCCCCCAATAAAATTATCTTAAAAGCTTTAAGTTAAACAAGCAGCCAACTAGCTGGGAAGTAACAAAGCCCACAGAAAAGAAGCACCGCAGTCTGTGTGATCATGAGGTATCCACGGGAGTAGATATCAGAAGTTCAAAAACAAGCAATTACATTGATATGAAAGAGCATAGACAAAGTGGAGACCAAAAACTCACCTGTATGATAATTGGAGAGTCCCTCACAGAAGGGCCACATGGAAGGGATGATATATTCAGGTTGCAGTATAGCACTGATGAAACACATTAACTATCCTCTAGTTCTTTACTATCTCTTCCTCTTACTATTATGGTCTTAGTTTTACCTCATTATTCTTCTCATTAATGCATATTAATAACCTTCAGATGTTCATTTGTATAATCAAGATTGTTCGATGCATGTAATCCAAGACAGATAAACCCTTCAGAAATAATAACGGGAGTATTGATTCCCTGAGGGTTTGGGAAGGGGGAGAGGAAAAAGGGGTAATGGGGAACTGACAGCAATGATGTCTGTACAACACCACTCAAGGGGAATGAATAACAAAATCGTAGTTAAACGGATATATTGGATCATATAATATATGGCAATAACAATAATAATATATAATACAATAATAGTTCCTGGCGGGTAGGATAGAGAAGGGATAAAACGGAGCTGATATCAAAAAGTTCAAGAAGAAAGAAAATGTTTTGAAACTGATGGTAGCAGCAATTGTACAATTATGCGTGATCTGATCGAATTATGGATTATTATAATATCTGTAAGAGCTCCCAATAAAATGATTGATGAAAAAATACTCTTTGGTTTTCAGTACTGAAAGCATTTTTATTCAAAAATTGTTTTCATAGGCAAATGGAAAATTCAGTTCAAATATATATAATTTCCACTTCAGACCCAGAATTACCAGAATGAGATGCTACCACCTATTGGTAGCATATTCTAACCACAAGGCTGGGTTTGTTTGTTTTTAATGATTCAAGCTCTAGAAAAGTCAAATTTTCCAACTTCAAAATATAGTCCAGAAAAACTGTCTTAAAACTTTTTTTGAACAATACAAGATTAAGACAACCAAACTAGGGAATGAACAACATCAAGAACAATTTATGGTATTTAGGGGAAGCATCATTTCTTTATTTCTCCATATGTAAAATATATTAATATATTATATGAACACTGCATTGTTAATTCACATACCTTAGTACAAAAATTAGGAAAAAAGTAATTTTTCATATGTACTGTATTTTTATACAAATAATAGATGTGTTACATGCTTTTTTCTCAACCAGGTATCCTCATCCTCCCCAGGTGTTTTTCTAAGTATACTATGATAATTGTTTTTAAAACCATGTAAAAAATTAGCAAAGCATACTTCTGAATATAGAAGGAGTGACTGATCTGACCCCCAGACCACCACGCCGAACACTAAGGCATGCAGCAGAGCAGCAAGGGGAGCAGAGCATGAAGTCCCCGGGGAAACCAAAAATAGACTGTGGGGCCAGGGCATGGCACCCCATCTCAGACTTGGCCAGAAAACCCTCGGAAAGGTCAACAAACAGACTTGAACTATTTATAGGCTTTCCTGTTGTTGGCTTTTTGTTGCTGTTGTTTCATTTTCTTTTGTTGCTTTGTTTTGCTCTGTCTTGTTTTGTGCATATTATTATCTCTGAATGCCTATCTAGGTAAGATAGGCAGCATAAACAACAATCCAGAGGCGAAAACAATAGGATCGACGGTTGGGGCAGGGGGTGGGGGGAGCGACATGGGAAAGTAGGAGGCAGGGGAAAGGAGGTGGGTGTTAACAAACCCAGGGGCAAGGGAACAAGTGATCTTAAAAAAAAAAAAAGGGGTGGCTGGAGAGAAAAAAACATATAATGTGATATTTGTGTAAAAATATGGTATGGCCAATATAAAACCAAAAAAAATAAACACTGCCACCAAGTCAATGTCAACTCACATAGACCCTATAGGACAGATGAATTTCTATGACTTTAACTCTTCACGGGAGTTGAAAGCCTAAACTTTCTCCCTCAGAGCACCTGGTGGTTTCAAACTGTTGACCTTGCTTGCAGTTAGTAGCCCAACACATAACCACTACACTGCCAGGGCTCTTGTATGTTCCACCCAGTACAGACTACATGCTAATTCCCTAAACACGAATGAGGAAATGTCATCAAGGCCAAGTCTGACCTCCTCTGGATAAACAAGGGAGGAGGAGAATCCAACTCCACACCAGGCCAAGATTGACTGCCACAGGCAGAGATCAGACATGCTTCCAATCTCCATTCTTCTTGACCCTATTCTGACACCAACCCTCCTTGCCAAGGCAGTCTATTCTCTGCTGGGTTCCACAATCCACTGCAATAGCCACAGAGAACTCACAGATTATGGAAGTTTATTAGGGAAGTTAACAGGTTACAAATGGTAAAATACAGTTCTTTGGCCCACAGAGCCTCTTCTCAGCCATGCTGAATGACAGGTCCTCGGCCTCTCAGCTTGGGGCTCGGGCCCTACTTAGGAAAGTGTTACAAGCATCTGTAGTGCTGTCAAATGCCCTTTCGGTAAGCCAGCCTCCTTCCAAAGACACTCAGCTTTCCCCCTGTTGGGCTGGGAAGCCCACTTCTCTGTCTCATCATGGTCTCTGAGGTGTGGCCTCAGAGTAGGCAGTGCCTTGCCTACTGCTTCTGCTTCTTTTGCTACTTCAGGCAGGAATCCCACATGCATTCCGCTGTGATTCAATAAATTTCAATAGATTTTCAATCAAATTCAATAGATTTCAATGTGGTTCAAAAAAATTCAGTAGAAAAAATAAATTGTCTTAATGGTTACAGGATTCTCTCTTTTTCTGCCTCTGAGATGGCTCCCTTGGATACCCAGTGGAAAGGCAAAACTGACCAATAGCCTCCATTAGTGTTACACATGGTCCCACCCAATTGTTTAATGGGAGTTACAAGACATGGATTCAAACCAAACTCGCAACCATTGAGTCAATGCCAACTCATAGCAGCCCTATAAGACAGGATAGAAATGCCCCTATGAGTTTCCAAGACTAACTCTTTGCGGAAGTAGAAAGGCACCTTTCTCCTGCAGAGCTGGTGGTTTTGAACTGCTCAACTTGCAGCACTGTAACCACTATGCAACCAGGCCTTTCCAAGACATGGCTAGAAGTGCCATTTCAAGCAAGTTCACTTCCACTACAACCAACTAACAAACAGAGGTCATAGGTACTGTGTAAAGAGAATTCTTTACCATGTTGTAATATATTAATAAAGACTAGTGAATACTTACCGAAGACTCTGGGTCTGACAGTTCATCCAATAATTTCCTTGCATCTACCACAGCTTGATAGAGTCTAAGATTTTTACCATCAGAAGCAACAAAGCAAGCACTAGCAGAATTGCAGTATGTGCCTGAGAAATTAAAGATTTTCATTATAATGTGTAGTTTATTTTTATTGTTGGGCAAAGTGCAAGAAACAAATATTCATACTTTTAAGTCATGATCCAGAATAATTAAAACAAAAAAATCTGTATATAAAATTATTCACAAAAAATTTCAATAGAAAAAATAAATTATAAGAGGGAAAGAATTAAACACCAAGTCCTAAATATTATAAAAATAAATTGTATCTACTTCCTGAATACTTAAAAATGACAAAAATAAACCATATTACATATAGTGAATGTAATTTAAAGTTTTCATTCATTCTATAATTAGAAGGAATACTTACCAAGGCAGTAGCTGGGAATAAGAGTTGGAAGCCAAGCCACATTAGAGAAGGCTGAGGTATGTAAAGAGTTAATTCGCGCCAATTCGGAAACCCCTCCAGTGTATGACAATGGTCCTATTGGGTCTACACGCCACAGAATAAGTTCACTGTAGATTGCATTTGGGTCATGAAACGTACACGTGGCTGCATTCCTAAGTGGTTGCTTCGAGGAGCCTTTTATATGTTTTATGGGATCCATTAATTTACTTAATTTACCATCTGAATCTGATTCAGGAGTCAACAGAGCATTATGATGAGATGATGTCAACAAGAGAGGTAAAACGGAATGACATGCCAGATCATTGAGATGAAATCGATGACCACAGTATCTAAATTTGTGAGACACAGTAAGAACAGTGGTAAAGGCAGACTTATCAGCAAAAGTGACGGCCCACTGGTTTAAAGAGCCATCTATATGTTTGGAGACCATCATGACTGTAGGCATGAAGACGTTCATTTTCAGACTGTGCAGTCTGGAGTGTGGCTGGGAGCCATGAGGACTGCCTAAAGCCGCCCGCTCTTGGTGGGAGATAGGGTGGTGGAAATCTTTCGTAGCATTTGTGCAGGCATACATCATAATATTTTTACTAAGAGAGCTTGCGTCACCAGAGGGAAATGCAACAGGAATCCGGGAAGAAAAAGAAACCTGAAAAAAAATACAATTATTTTTTTGTGTGGAAGTGATTTACCTCTTCTTAAAATAATATTCCAAAACACTTCTATTTTCAAAGTGCCAAAGATTAGCTTCCTACTCCCACAAAACCCCAAAATGTTCATAATCTTA